AATAGATTTCATCAATGTCCTTAGTACAATTTTTTCTCCCTGGTTTGTCACAGGTATCCCCATTTGTCTCAGGATGATGTCATGGAAAAATGTCCTTTTTGCCGCGGTAATTGCAACTGTTGCATATGTTTGCAGTCGAGTGGATTGATTGAGGTATGCTTGTATTCTTTTTTTTTTTGTTTTGAGTCTTGCAAGATCGGGATTCGTTTTTGTGTGAATAGAGATTATATATATATCTGTTCTTTCTTACAGACATCAAAGAGGAAGCTCAGTAATTACGAAAGATTTCATCATCTTCGATACTTGATTGAGTCGATGCTTCCTTTCTTGAAAAAGCTATGCAACGCGCAAGATCAAGAGATTGAAACCGAGGCAAAGGTTCAAGGTATATATGGGTCTTCATCTAGTTAGTAGGACAAGCTTTCTCTTGCTACAAGATGACATAATTGATTTGTTTTATATAGGAGTACTTACTTCTCAGCTTGATATATCTGAGACTCTAGGCGCAAATGAAGAGCGCGTCTTTTGGTAAGTATCATACTTTTGATATTGCCTGAAGGAGTTATATGACATGTATTATATTTACTGAAATATCATTTGTGTTGTAGTAACCATTGTGCAACCTCAATCGTTGACTTGCATCGAAGCTGCCGGAAATGCTCTTATGAACTCTGTCTGAATTGTTGCCAAGAGATCCGCGAAGGACGGCTTTCAGAACGCCCGGAATTTAAGTTGCAATTCGTGAATCGAGGGAGCCAATATATACATGGCGAAGATGCAGAACCGAGGACTTCCTCTGTTTCCGAGGATGAGACTAGTAATCCATCCATTGAGTGGATTGCTGGTGAAAATGGAAGCATACCATGTGCACCAAAAGAGCTAGGCGGTTGCGGTGATTGTGTTTTGGAGCTTAAGCGACTCTTACCGTTTACTTGGATGCCAGATTTGGAGCAAAAGGCAGAGACATTCTTAGTCTCTTGTAGTATCAGTCCGAAAATGTCAAACTGCAGATGTTCTTCTGATGTGGAGATGAGTATGATGAGGAAAGCAGCTTCGAGGGACGGATCCAGTGACAATAATCTTTATTGTCCTGAATCTTTTGATGTAATGAACCAAGAAGAGCTTCTGCATTTCCAGGAGCATTGGTCCAAAGGCGAACCAGTGATTGTTCGAAATGCTCTTAACAACACAGCTGGTTTAAGCTGGGAGCCAACGGTTATGTGGCGGGCGTTATGCGAGAATGTTGATTCGGAAACTAGCTCTAAGATGTCTGAAGTCAAAGCAATCGATTGTTTGGCTAATTGTGAGGTAAAATATCTCGTTTTGACGGCTTTCGAAGGTGTTTGATACGGTCTAAAACTCATTTCTGTTTCGTACAAATTCAGGTGGAGATCAAGACTCAAGACTTCTTTCAAGGATACAGCAAAGGAAGAACATATGGTAACTTCTGGCCTGAGATGCTGAAGCTGAAAGATTGGCCTCCTTCAGACAAGTTTGAAAACCTTTTACCTCGTCACTGCGATGAGTTCATATCCGCATTACCGTTCCAAGAATACAGCGATCCTAGATCCGGGATTCTCAACATTGCTGCAAAGCTTCCTGAAGGGATTCTTAAACCAGATCTTGGTCCAAAAACTTACATAGCGTACGGGGTTTCAGATGAGCTCGGGAGAGGCGATTCAGTCTCTAAGCTTCACTGTGATATATCAGATGCAGTAAGCTTCAAAATTGTTGATAAAAATGTGGTTTTTTTTTAAGTATTGTCAGATATAATAAAGTCTGTTTTCTGTTGTAGGTTAATATTCTGATGCATACGGCTGAAGTAACACTATCTGAGAAGCAAATGTCTGCAATTGAACTTCTGAAACAGAAACACAAGCAACAAAATGAAAAAGAGCTTCAGGAGCAAAATGGTTTGGACAGAGAAGAGATTATTAATGATGAAATTGGGTTTCATGATGAAACAGGCAGCGCGCTTTGGGACATATTTAGAAGAGAAGATGTTCCTAAGCTTGAAGAGTATCTAAGGAAGCATTGCAAAGAATTCAGACATACTTTTTGTGCTCCTGTTACAAAGGTATACATAATCAGGGAAATTTTTTTCAGCCTTCGAGCTCGATGTTTGTGTACTGATGATAATTTTGGGGGGATTCTTTTGTCAGATGTATCATCCGATACATGATCAGTCGTGTTTCTTAACCGTGGAGCATAAAAGAAAACTCAAGGCGGAATTTGGTAGGGTACATGTAACTATAATAACTGTCATTTCCAGGGGTTATTGACATTTTGTGATATGTTTTTTTTTGGTGTTTGAATTCAAGGGATTGAGCCATGGACATTTGTGCAAAAGCTAGGAGAAGCAGTGTTTATTCCCGCGGGTTGCCCTCATCAAGTTCGGAACCTAAAGGTTAATTGATAATTTCTGTTTTTTAACTAACTTATATGATTTA